CTTCCCGTTCCGAGGGGGGGGAAACTTTTGGGGGGGAAAAACAAAAATTTTTTTCCCTTTTTTTTTTTTTTTTTTTTTTTTACGATGTGCATAATCCATTATTTGTTAAAAAATAAATAAATAAATCATACCTCTTAAACTTTCTCACATTTTGAGATTGCATGTAATACCGTTCTCCTTCCAATCTGAATGAAATTGAGAAAGTCTGGAAACAAGAAATGACAAAACCTGCAACCGTCTCTATAGGGAAGCTGGTACATTCGGCTTCCCTATGAGGGCTGGAAATGCTTCTCAATTCCAGTCCTCAGGCCCCCCTGCTCCATATGTCTTAGATGTGCCTCTATTCCAGAACAGCTGATTCAAATGAGTGCATAACCATCAAGTGCTGCAGAAGCCTGTTAATCACCCACAGATACAATCCAGGTGTGTGGCAGAAGGGAAACACCTAAAACATGCAGGGCAGGGGGGCCCTGAGGACCGGAATGGAGAAACGCTGCCTTAACAGTTGCAGCTGCAATTACACCAAGTAGAGCGCAGGTGTCAAACTCCAGTCCTGGAGGGCCACTGCCCTTGAAAACCTTTAGATGTGCCTGTGCTGCACCACACCTGAACAGAATAATTAGGTCATTAGCAGGAATCTGGAGGTAATTAAGCCATTTTAGTTCAGTGTTTTGCACATCTAAAAACTGCAGGACTTGAGGCCTGGAGTTTGATACTAGCGCAGTGTTTCTCAACCCTCGTCCTCACCGCCCCCCTGTCCTCCATGTTTTAGGTATTTCCCTTCTGCCACACACCTGAATTGCACCTCTGGGTGATTAACAGGCTTCTACAGTACTTGAAGGTCATGCAATCATTTGAATCAGATGTTCTGGAATAGAGGCACATCTAAAACATGCAGAGCCGGGGTGCGCTGAGGACCAGGGTTGAGAAACGCTGTACTAGTGGTTCCACAATTTAACAGGTCTGACTAAAAAAATGCATTCCATACATTTTATATTTTATTCATAATTTTTTTTGAAAACCTTGTATATCTTTCCTTTCACTTTAAAATTATTTGCTAGTTTGGATTGGGTGTATCAGAGCGAATCTCGGGCACCAAAGTTTATGGTTTTAATGTCAAAATGTTCAAAGGGTATGAGAACTTCTTCAAGAAGAATGTTTTTGAATTTCCCAGAAATGGATGAGGAAGACTGTGAACGGAGGAGACTGGAGTGCCTGGATGAAATGTCCAACCTGGAGAAACAATTTAACAGTCTGAAGGACCAGTAAGACCTATAGTGTTTTTTTTTTTTTTTCTCTCTCCCCCCTCTCGGTGTGCTCGGTGTCATAATGAGTTATGTCCATGTTTGGTGTGCAGGTTGTATCGAGAGCGACTCAGCCAGGTGAACTGCAAGCTGGCGGAAGTCGAGGCTGGACGGGCAGCAGAATACCTCGATCCTCTGGCGGTACTGCTGGAGAACATGCAGGTTCGCACTAAAGTGGCAGGTAACTTCAGCTGGTTTACAAATCCTCCTACTCCTCCCTTCACGGTGTTCAGTCTCACAGCCTGTTTTTTTTTTTTCCTCTGACAGGTATTTACCGAGAGCTGTGTCTGGATTCTGTGAGGAACAAGTACGACTGTGAAATCCAGGCTGCGCGCCAACACTGGGAGGTTGGAAACACTGGTTGTCCATTAAGGTTCTCCTGAACAGCTGAACTTTGTTTTAATTCACAACTTTTGTGTGTGTGTGTGTGAGCAGAGTGAGAAACTGCTGCTGTTTGATACAGTGCAGAGCGAGCTGGAGGAGAAAATCAGGAGACTGGAGGAGGACAGACACAGCATCGATATCACATCAGGTAGCGCGGTGTCTGCAGTGTGTTTGGCGCTGCAAAGCCTTCGGAGCTTCTCGCAATGCCTCTGAGTCATCTTGTATTTGTTCAGAACTGTGGAATGATGAGCTGTCTGGGAGGAAGAAAAGGCAAGATGCTTTAAGTCCAGATAAGAAGAGGAGGCGACCTTCTGTGGTTTCTGATATCCTTTTGTGTTGCAACATCTAGGAATTGTAAATCTCTGTAAAATGTTAGCAACTGAATGTGTCCTTAACCCTGTTCACGTCCATATATTGTCTATATGCTGCCAGATTTGGACATCCTAGAGGACTGGACAGCCATCAGAAAGGTGCACATTCAAGATTGCCTGTCCATTTCTTCATTACCAAGTGTTTTATGCACTTTTTTCCCCCAACGCCTTTTTCATTTGCATTGCAGTCTGTTGCTACCTTGGGCCCTCCCAGAGTGAAGGTTGACGCGGACAGCTGTTTGTTCCCCTTCCGATCTGACAAAAATAGGCCGTTTGTCAACTGCTGGGAAGCCCATACACATGTTTAAAAGCACTTAAGGACTTCAGCGTACAAGCAAGACGTATGTGGGACACTAATCTGCACGTTTCTACTCCCCAAAAATCAGGTGGCGATTAAAACGTCATATTTAAGCTGCCAGTCATGCAGGGTTTTTCTGCGCAATAGAAAATCTCCAACATTAGTGATCCTTTCAGACAGATGTGACTGCTTTGGTTTAGACTCAGGCTTTTACAGATTGATCTTTTTAAACTTTCATTTGTATGATTTTTTTTTTTATAAACATGAAACTCAAAGCTATCACTAAGCAGGCTGTAGAGTTGATTTAAACTTCACAGTTAAAGTGGCACAAACGGTTCTCCCACTCGAGCTACAAGAGTCGGTTCTTTTCTAAGAAACTGTCCTTCATAAGAGGAGTAATGAGTAAATGGTTAGTGTTAATTTGTCTTGACTGTGCATCCACTTGGTTTGGGATTTTAAACTGCCTCAAATGGCAGAACTTTTCTAGAAAACTAATTTTAGAGGATACCATTGTCTTTTTACATAAAGTGAAGAGCTAAAAAATGAAACATTTTTGGTCTACAGATTACAGAATTATTATTGTTCTCTGGCTTAGCTAGGAAGCTTTTCTGTGTCATTATTTTTTATCTTGATCATATGACCCATGTTATATGATTCTCTTCAAAAAGCTTTTAGTTTACAAGGAATAATTATAATTAAAACAGGTTTTTTTTTTTTAACGTGCTGCAGAGCATATTGCAGTGCAGAATGTTGCCTCCTACCTCTTTTTGTTTTTACCAATATTTTCATGATTAGAAACTTTCCTTTTTTTTTGACATCTTTCAAGTTTCCATCTGATCAGCAAGGACAGTGTTTTTTTTTTTTGTTGTTTTTTTTTGTATTTTTAGCAGATTGGTTCATTTCAGGTGCAGTTGTGTCCCTTTTGTTGATGGGTTTTACAAATAAAAGTTTTTGTAAGTTTATTCCGCATCTGAAAACTCAGGATTGCAGTAAAACACATCGACGGATCAGCTCAGGCCTACCACACCAAGAGTGCCAAGCCTTGGATTTTCATAGGTCATTACGTCACCCATATGAATTAAATATTAACGTTTTCCACATTAGAGCTCCCAATGTGCTTACAGAATATTAAACAGGAGGCAGGAATTGCTGAGAGGGAGAGCTTTAAATCACACTGCTTTTAACCGGTCGTTGGCAGGCTCCTGCAGAACTCAGACAGGCTGAAATATTTCAAACATTTACGTCTGATATAATTCAGGTCATCAGCCTTTGCGTATTGGTTTGGCATGAATTTGCCATAACACTGCCTTTCTTTAAAAGGTAATTTTCTTAAAGCATTTTTCCCCCCAAAAAATCAGGTGTTTCCAATCAATTAGAATGTCAAGTACATTTTTCTCATTAACATACTAAGGAAAATGCATTGCTTTGACTGTTTATACTTAATTTCCTTTTTGTTAGTGCTTCTGAATGTATTTTCCTTCCACTCAACTTTCCATCCTTAAGTTTGAATGCAGCTTAAGAATGGACTCTGATTTCCTGCGTTTTATCTTTGGAGGTTCAGGCAGTTTTCACCTTTATTAAATGAGACTGCAGTTGTATTAACATATTTTAAAACGCTAAACAGAATTTTGGGTTTTTCTTGGCTATAAGCAATAAACATTAACTGAAAAATTCTGGAAATGACTTTGCTTAAGTTTCACAATTAGAGAAATACTAAAATGAATACGTTTTTGAATTATATTCTAATTTCTAAGGTCCTGCACTCGTTTCAAATGCGCACAAATTTTGTGAAGACACCGGACATCTTTCATTGAAATATTTGTCTATCCATTTACAGCGTACAAACCTTTCCTAAACTGGGTTTGAATTATGCAAAGGGTTTTAAATTATCAAATATATTAACATACTTAAAAGCCCTGAATATAAAATGTAAGGTTTTTAAATAAACATTTCATCTACACAAAATTTGAAAAGAACTACATTGAAATATGCTGCAGATGAGCACAAAAGCTTTACATAATTACATAAGTGACAGAGAAAGTTTTAAGTCTTTATTTGTCTATCAAATCACTTTTTACAAAATTCACAAAGCTGACATTTGGGAGCCTCTCTTCCAGTCAGACCATTTAACTTGATTGGAGTCAGTTTTCATTTGTAAGTCACCGTAACGGCATCAGAAGCACCGCTGCACACCTGCTCTGCTGGTTTGAAACTAAGACAGAAGATGAATGCAAAGTCTATTGAATTTCAAAGGGAACTCAGAATTTTTTTGCGAATTTTAAGAAAACATACTCGTTTGACCTCTAAGGAGGAAGATCAAGTATGCTGACGTGGCTGTTTTAAAGAAAATCATGTTAATGGTAAGAAATGCCAAAACAAAAGTGCATTTTAAAAACTAGTGTGGGGGAAAAAGTGACCATGTCAGGCGTAAAAAGTGTGTTTCTGTCAAAATAAGTTGTGTCCATTTATTTTTCCGTCATTGACCTGAATTGTAGACGAATGTCAGTCTGTGCATTTTCAACATAAGATCCAGGTAACAATGTGTCTTGCCAATATGACAGCTTCACCCCACAAATCAACAAAGCTGTTGATTTTAAAATGAAGTGGTTGGATGACGGGATGGAGAAGAAAAGGTTTTACATGTAGGAGAAACAGAACTGAGACTCTTACAGAAACAAATCAGCCTGATGGACATTGATGTTTCTGCTCTACCAACACCTTTCAGTAAATATCCCTCCTGGCCAATAAATAGCTGGGGCAGAAAGAAGGGAACTCCACTTTTCTTCCATCTGCTACTGAAGCTGAAATGGATCCTCATGGAAACCGACAGGGTTAGATGGCGTTAGATGTTCTCTGGTGACTGGTTTTGAGGTGGCGAAGGCAGGGACTGCTGACGAGGAGGAGGAGGAAGGTCATCGGTTGGATGTAGCGTCATGGGAGGGCCGTAGGGGGCGTTGGGATTAGGAGCAGGAGGAAGAGGTCCGCCAGGAGAAAAACGAGGAGGAAGCATCATTCCTTGTGGATGGGGAGGCCACACTGGAAGAAACACAAGGCAGTTTCAGATTAAATCCTTAAATTAAATCATTCAAGTTCTAAACCTGACGATTTCTTACTGGGCCTCATGGGAGGACCCCCTGGTATCCTGGGATGGTAGAAATCAGGAGGGGGAGGGGGTCCATACGGGGCTCTACGAGGAAAGGGGCCGTCTATAGGAATCCCTGGGGGTCCAGATGGAGGAGGGCCACCCATCCTCAGATCCAGTCCAGGAGGAGTCCTCCGACTACCAGGACCAGACTAATGACATGCATCATAGGCTTTAGTACCAGTAAAGACCAAACATATTGTATCTCACACTGCCGCTCACCTCTCTGTGGTCCTGTTCGCCGGGTCCAAGGCGGTTTTCTCTGAACGAGCCGTCTACATCGACAAACGTTTAGTTTGTGAGAGAAAAGCATATAAAGATATGCAACATACAGAATAACTCCACATCAAACATTTCACGCTTAAGCAGCTGCATACAAAAGTAATCATTAACGGCTCACCTGCCATGTCCAGAGGGTGAGGCGGTCCCATGGGGAGACCTCTAGGTGGCATAGGGCCAGGTGGGAGGGGCCCAGAAGGAGGCAAAGGCCCCAAAGCCCCTGGAGGAGGAGGAGGCCTCCTGAACATGGGACCTCCTGGTTCTGGAAACATGTAGCCTGAGAAAGTACAAAATAAAAAAAATGGAAAAATGAAATCAGTGCAAAGAAATCCAACAAAACTCAGTTTCAGGTGAAATTTCTAAAGTTCTTGTGTCTAAAAAAACATTTTATATCTCTAAGTTTTGTATATTTTTGTCACATTATATCCAGAAAGTACTTACTTTATACATCAACAGAAAAATAAAGTTTAATTATGAAGTGCTAGAATATGATACGTAGTTTAATATTCTTTCCAAATAAGACATTTAAAGGCATCTCATCCATTCCAGTTTCACCACCTTGACTCTGATACCCCTAAATGAAATCCAAATTGCCTTCAAAATTTAGATTGCTTAAAAATTTCTTTGGATCTCTTAAAAAAACGAAACAAAAAAAAACTGTTTTTTTTAAGAGAACATCACTGAACAAGCAGCATCATGAAGACCAGGGAAAAGACCAGACATGTGTGGAATAAAATTAAAGAATAGTTAGGATATGAAGCAATATTTCACACTTTGAACATCCCATGGGGCATTTTGTAGTCAAGCATCAAAAACGGAAAGAGCACGGCGCCACAACAGACCTAACAAGACATGGTGGTCCACCTTATCTAACTTTACAAATACAACAGCTAGCAAGGATTTTTTCAGGATGTTTTTCATGATTGCTAGTCTGATTTGAAGAGATGGAGGACTGAAAAGAAACACGAGGATGCATAAATGTGTTGATTTATTAAAAATAAAAGGTATAATATCAAAAGGTTTAACAGAGATTTTTGTTGACATTTTTCTCTCAAAGATGGCGTCATAATTCTTTTTTATAAAAATCACTTACAGAGCCAATCAGACCTCTCTAAACTGGGTGCAGCTGGATCAAGTTGAAATTATTCTAAGAATGGGTAAAATTTTGTACTACTTGGTGGAATTAATTATTTATGATTTTATATGTTGCCTCTGCAAGCCTGTTTTTTTTTTTTTTTTTTTTTTTTTAAATCAGTGTTCACTCTTGCAAACGCAGTTACATACAGACCTAAACCACTTAAAGTTAATGAATAAAAAAACTCATGTACCAACTTGCATCAGATATAGTAGCTGAAATGGAAAAAAAAACTGAAAAGAAATTAAATATCTTTGAGCTAGCAACAGGAAACACTTTTATATTTTAAACTGCATAATTTATGACACATTGTCTCAGCCTGCGTTTCTTTCATCGGTATGCACAATGCAGACCAGGTGTAAAAACAGATGGGCCACGGCAGAATTAAGCCTCTTACAATCCTGCATTGTGTCCCATCTCGGCTTGATGGTGAGAGACGAAAACAATTAGCAGCTAGCTAATATGACTGTTTAACTTGCCGAGACAAGGTTACACAATCATTACCACAATGCTCTGTTATTGCGAGCTATGACAGCCAACGCGCTACAACCGCATTAAGACCATGCGTCATGGAGACGGGGATATTAGTTACTGCTTTATGTCAACATCTCTATGAAAGAGGAACCCACGTAGACAACGACTGCTTGTTAACATAGTCAAGGTGCACATGCACAACGAACACCGTTGCGTGATGGTGATGTGGCAGAAATACGGCTGGTATATGTAGACACGTTGTTCCCCTGACTGATTAAAAAGGCTCCTGCAAGCTGCTTTTGATCACAGTTGAAAGCCGTTTCTTCAGTTTGGAACGAATCGCCACAAGGAAGGCAAATATTTGCACTTCCTTCCGAGGCAGTCCCAGTTTTTTTTTTAACACAATGCTAACTTTTTGAACTGTGATTGGTTTAATATAAACCAGAGCACGTCGGTTTTTTGTCGCTGGCAGCTGAAACTGAACATTAAAAAGAATAACAAAAAGCAGAAAAAATACACACCGAGCTGCCTTGAATTAACCTGTTTTGTTTGTGATTAAATACCAAAACAACAATTTCTCTTTGGAAAAAAATGCTCTTTGATCAAAGCAAATGTGCTTTCAGATTTTATTTTTTTCCCACACACCTGGGGGTACCAGAGGCCCAGGAGGTCCTGGCGGGGGACCCCTGCGATCTCTCTCCCATATGGGAGAGTTTGAACCGCTGTCTGAATGAGGACCTCCACTGCGCTCCATCTCTGCTTGGCCACTTGGGGGCTCCCCTGGACCACGAGATACTGGGCAGGAAAGCAATAAGGAGGAAAGAAGGGGCAAAGCAAATAAGATGATGATGGTGAAGATTGATGTGAACGACAAAGATGGAGAGGAGGGAAAACAACCCATGTGGGTCAGACAGAGTGTGTTGAGGGGGAAGATAAAGGAGGAGCACTTTAAGTCAGTCAGAGAAACACAAGGCTTGCAGGCATATTGTCATGTTAAACTTTTCATGGTTGCCGACTGGTGGATTGCAGAAAGCATGCAAAAGATATCTTGTCGCAGTATGTACAGAACTGTTCAAAAGGTTTCACAGACATTTAACTTTTGCAACTTGTCACAATACAACCACCGTCATCATTTTATTTGGATTTTATTGCACAGCGGAATACAAAGTAGTGCGTGATTATTAGTCGGAAGGAAAATGTTTTTGGTTTTTAATAAATAAAGAATATGTAGCGCCACTGTTCACTGTAAGATGCGTTTCTACCAGCTTAGCAAATAAAATTTTCATACAAAAGTTTAGATTGGATGAAAAGCATCTGTGAACAACAACACTAAGTTATTCTAACACAGACATGTTTTAATCTAAACTACTATATTAAAGCTATGAGTTAATAAGGTTACTTTTTAAGAACATTTGTTGCATATGGTGGATTTTACTTATACACACACACATATATATATATATATATAAATTCATTCCACCCTTTTTAGATTTCATTTGTAGAAGGTATAGGTATTTCCACCTCACATTTAAGCACTACTTTGTGTGGTTCTAAAATATGAAATTACAATATAACACATTCAAGTTTCTGATTGTGACATGAAAAAACATGGAGTTTAAGGGATTCCAAACTCCTCAAACTCCACTTTTTTTTCTTTTTTTCTTTTTACATAATTTACATTTGAAAGGTTCTGTATCATCATCTAAATTTAATCATGCAATAGTCACCTAGCCAACAGCAACATGCAAACGTCATTGGACAACAAGGCTGAATGAGAACTTGCAACATTTCAATAAATTGTTTTGTCCATGTTTACCTCTGGGAGACAGCCTACCATGCAGCCCATCCATTAATATTGGAGGAGAGAGGAAAGGTCTAGTTTCAGACGAGGGCCGGCCCAGAGGAGAAGGACCATAAGGCGACCTTTCAGCTGCAAAGGAGGAAATTTATCATTTACATATAACATTTCAATTCAAATGGTACCATTTACATCAGATTCCTCATGAAGTTTACTCAAATTAAGACATGTTCGCTAGACGTGTAGGTTTACCTCGGAAAGGCAGCGGTCTAGCCAGGTTGTTCAAGGCGTACGGGTCTTTATCGAGGGAATCCAGTTTAAACTGAGTATCTGTGAGTCTGAACATCGGTAAAAACACGGAAAGCTTTAATAGCCTTGAATAAGTAAATGCTGTTAAAAATATGCATGGTTTCTGTGCATTTTTCAGGTCATATTTCCCAAACCTTTCGGGTGAGTGCAAGCAGAAAATGTGATCAATTTCCTGCTTTCAAAAATACCTTATTGATCCCAAAGGGAAAATAAATGTTATTGCAACTCATTAATTGAAATTCTTCAAAGCTTTATTGTAGATAGCGATGGCTGTTGACAGGAAAGCTCTCTTGTAGCACTCTGAGATCAGTTATTTCAGTTATTCACGTCTTAGTCCAGCACTAAAATGCGCCTAAAACAATCACATTTATTTGTCTTTGTCAACACAGCCGGCCATATTCAGCAAGGCCAGGTTTGTTGCTATGCTTACTTTTGTCTGAGGAGGGCGTTCTCTCTTCGGAAGTCTCCCAGCTCTCTCTCTGCTGACCGCGCTGCCAACTGGAAATATTTACCAGATGAATCGCAATGCATAAACACCGAAATGCATTACAGCGCAGCAAGACGCTCTTTGAGCTCATCTGTGGCAGAGCTTCACTAACCCAGTTATTATGAGCTTTCTTCTCATGGGCAGAGATTTGAGTCTGATACGACTGTTTTGTTTTCTCCAGCTCCTCTTCCATCTCCTCTGCTCGTTTTCTGAAAACAAAGCACGAGCAAAACTGTGAAGGGAAGACAAACGCTACTTCTGCTTTGCCAGCTGTGGCTTCAGTTTTAAGGTGTAAAAGTGTAAAGATGGACAGATGATTTGAAAAACGGGCGGACAGATGGCCAGATAGACCTTTGACAAAAAAAGGAATGATGACGTTAACAGTAACCGTGTTTACTTTTTAAATTAAACCAATGCAAATCTAATTGCTTTACACAAAATGTTTGAAACCACTTGTGAAACCAAACTTACTCATCAAGGCATTTTTAGGAATTCAGATATGTAATCGTACAGACAATGGCCCAAGAAATAAATTACACAAAAAAAACTGAAAACTAGTTTTTCTTTTCCAAATAAAATTCCATATTTTTTGCAGACACGAGTGTCACCTGTAGTTATTCAGTTCTTCCATCGCCATCGCAATGTTTTTATCAGCTTTATTCAACTTCTCCTCCTTCTGGTGACGCTCCTTCTCCTCCACAGTCAGCATTCTGCACAAAGGTTCATGATTACAGACTCATCAAACACGTTGTTTAGCTACCAAATGTAGAGGTATGAACCTGTGCAGCTTGAGCTCGTTCTCCTGGTACATTTCTGTCATGATTTGCAGTTTCTGTTGTATCCGCTCGATCTGCACACACGAACCAGGACCATCAGAACAAATGACTCGACCGTATAACAAACCTCACGGAAACAGTTTGAGGTTACCCACCTGGCCCGTATAATTCTCGGCGTCAGACAGCAGGGACAACTTCTCCTTCTCCATCTCCTCAATGCTCACTTTAAATGGAAAATAAAAGCAGAAAACATGATAGGATTTCTGAGACTTCTTCTACAGGTCGATTAGTTAGTCCGTCTTTTTTCACTAACATGTCAGCATGTGACTACAGTTAACCCACCCTGCAGGTCTTCTTTTGCTTTGATCTCATCATTCAGCTTCGCAAACACTCTGTCTTTATCTTCATCCACTGATTTGAGGTCTGCGTTCAGCTGCATGGAGACACAAGAACATTATTTAAAAATGGGGTCATGTTGGCATGGGCTAACTGGATAAAACATTTGTATTCTGAAAAATAACACAAATATACTGATTAAAATGATTTTTTTTTTAAATGTGCTTGATTTACATGCAAAATTGTAAATATTTTTTACTTGTGTCTTTGTACCTTAGCAGCAAAGATGAGTTTCTGGACTTTCTGCAGGTGCGCGTTGTCGTCTTCTCCCGGCGTCCCATTGGTTGCCTCCTTTTCTCCTCCCTCTCCCTCTAGATCCGACTCCCAGCATTTCATTCGGAGCAGCCGATCCGTCAAGGACTGTGAAGAGTTATAAACGATTACATACGTCTAGCGGCAAGCATGTGGCGGTACTTGAACTCTGCCGTTCTCCTGAGATGATCGACACTCATGAGAAGCAATCGCACCGTTATGCGATCGTCCTTGACGGCCACATCCTGCAACATCGCGCTGTGGGCGACCTCGCACCTCCGCATCTCCTCCTCCAGCTCGCTTACTCTCTCCGCCCATCCCTCCACCTCCTGCTTCAACTGTGGATAAAAGCACATGGACAGAGATCTAAAATAATGATGCAGAGAATATAAGAAGAGGAAGAAAGATGCAAATCGATGTATGAAACTCTTTTCTTTATGTACATAATCTGACCTGATTGTTGCTCTCCTGCAGAACAGTGTTCTCCTCTTCTGCCGTTTCCAAGTTTCTCTGTAGTCTCTCGCTGTTCATGCTGTAAACCTTCAGAGTTGTTTGTGCCTAAACAAAACAAGAAAAAAAAACGCAGTCACTCCGAGAAGTGGATAGAATAAAATTCAAGTAAAAGACAAAGAGAAGAAGAGGCAGGAGAGCAACTGAAAGATAATAGCTAGGAGGGAACAGAGTCAAGCACCTGCTCCTCTTTTGAATGGAGCTCTTTGGTTTCTTCTTCGCATGCTTTCATGCTTTCCTCAAGTAGAGTTATCTGAAAAAAAGGCAAAAAAAAAAAAAAAAAAAGACATCACTGTGGATTAACACTATGATTACAGAATATCTTTAAAAGTCCGGGCCTACCCTCCTTTCTTGCTCCTTTCTATGTTCTTGTTGCTGGGACAGCTGCTCCTTCAGATGTCCAAGATCTGTCCCCAGCTGCTTTTTAGACTGTTCCAACTGTTCGGCTTGGCCCTACCGTGAACATGAAAACCAGCTGTGTTTAGAAAACTTGTTTAAAAAAAAAAAAAGATTAAAAAAAGTCAGAGAAGTTTCATTAAGCAAGACAGAAAAAGAATCAGACTAACTTGGGTCATGCTAATTCAATTTATTTGGCTTTTATGTATAACTTGATGTTAGTTGGATTCAATAATCTTAATTTTGCCAGTTTTGTCCAATTTCCAGTTGCACCACAGGTTTCATGCTAAATCAAGTAATACAAGACCATGTGGAATGGTTAAATTTGGTAAACTCGTTCGGCTTGAAAGTCTAAAATTAAAAGTAGCTTTGTGGTGCAACACCAAGAATATAATGAAAATACAATACATGTTGACCATGACGTCAGTGCTTTCAATAACAATAAGCCACAGAAATGTCCTGCAACATGAAAAGAGCTTCTTATCAGCTCCTTATCCTACAAAACAACAAAAACCTGCAACCAACAAGATAAACATGCTTTTTTTTTTTTACTAGAAGAATGAATAAAATAGAGTTTAACTTTTTGCTTCACACACATGTTTATGCTTCAATTCAAGTCTTTGTTCCCTCTGCCTTACCTCCAAATCTTCGGATTTTTGAGTCTGAGCCAGAACGCCGCCGTCCCCGAGTAAATTCTCCAGGTCATCATACTGAAAATTACAGGTTACGAAGAAATGACTCAGTCAGTCCACGGATTTGAAAACAACACGGAAGGAGGCTCTGGCTCTCAAAACACTCAGTAAGCAGGAGCACCAACCTCTTTTTGACACTGACTGAGAGTCTCGAGGACTTTACACTTTTCATCCAGCAGCTGTGCAAGTTGTCCAGCCAGCCTCTCTTCCTTTTCTGAAAAACAAAAGATGTAAAAAAAAAAAAAAAAAAAAAAAATCAATTTTTTTTTCCCAGTTTTCCCTTTTAAATAAAAAAAGGTGATTTTTTATATTGGCCTT